CCCTCTTTTCCCCCTCCAATCTCCACAAACACTTTCTCATTCTACTGGGAAAAGAAAAAAAATTAAAGTATTATCATACTTGTTTATCTGCAACAAAGGTGCCAACTGTGCCATTGTACTTCCCTCGGTGACTGCGATAGTCTACTCATCGGTCATCTCTTGGTAATAAATGTGAGTCGTACTGACAAAATGAGTTACTTCTCGCAGTCCACAAATGGAGATATTGGTCAAAAATTGACACTAGGGTCAAATTTGTAGATTTTCTATTGATGCCATATTCTATAAGTATAACATAGCTTTTATTTCGTACAAATAAATTGTAAAATCTTCACCCTATACGTGTGATGTGTGTATTTCCTTAAGGCCTGAATCCAAGAAGAAACTCATTTTGTCTGCACGCTTCACAAATATCCTAAGTTTTATCACAGGCTGACTGACACCTTCCTAGTTGAGGCAAACTATCTTTGCTGAATATCGCTGTGTAGTGTACCACTCCACTCTTACTGAACCACCCAGTGTGAGTGGTTGGATGACTCTTGTTTGTAGGTTTTACTTCCTTTCTTGTCTCTCCTCAGTTGTTTCTGTCTGTCTGTCTTACTTTCTCCCTGCACTAAGAGACGATTATTGTGTTGACAGGCTTCTCTTTGCATATAAGAGCTTTATCTAGCTTACGATTATTATTGTTTATATTGCTGCTCATTTATATTATGCCTGTGATTGTAAGCTTACGTGTGTGCGCGTGTGTGCGTGCGTGCACGTGTGTGTGTGTGTGTGTGTATATGTGTGTGTGCGTGCGTGTGTGTGTGCACGTGGTGAAACACCAAACCAATATGCCAGGATCTGGACAATAAAAGATGTATCTTATCTTTTCTTATATAAACAAACAAGCTGCAGTGGGTAGAGGGAGGTCAGGGAAAGAGGTTATTTGTACCTTGTAGCTTCAGTCCCTGCCTTTCCCCCTTAATAAGAAAATGAAATGAAGTACAAAATACATTTTTGTATCTGTGGACTGTTGATGGATGCTGTTATGTAGTCTGTATCTTCTGCCTTTCTTCACTTCAGCATTGCTACTATCCTCATCTGTTCCTGGAAAAAGGTGGCTGCCAGTTGTCATTGTATCTCTCCTTAACGTACCCCTCTGTAACAATTTGTTACTTGTATCTTTGGTGAAGTTGTTAGCTCTTTGCTGTCACACACATAAGATGTGGGAAAAAAAAAGATTGATTCCTGAAGGGGGGGGGGGGGTTATTTTATCGAGTATGTCTGTCTGCTGGGATGCTTTGGTCAACAGGGGCATATAAGACATTTACAATAAAAACATATCGTCGAAAAGCTGTTCAAATATACCCTGCCCAGAAAGCAAAATATTTTGGGGGGAGAGAGAAAAAAACGGTTTCATTTTTTTAACAAGTATGCATGCTTAATTTATATTTTCTTGCCTTTTTCAACATTTAGAATTTGAATTGTGGCAAAGTATTTTTTGAGCACATGCCCTCAATATAATAAATTAAGAAACTGCAATTAAAAAGAATAAATAAATAAAAATGTTGGGCATGAAACATCTGAACAGCTAGCAGAGGATAATCATGTGCCCACACTCTAATAGTCTTGTTTCCTCATCACTAGGCCTGCAACCTCTGTGAGGTACGTACGTGTACACTAACAGAGAGATCTCCCTCACACTCCCCCACACTCCCTCACACCTTGCATGCCTTTAAGAAAGGAGTAATTCTCTGGAAATTGGTTTAGATTTTGTCTATGGGGGG